TGTTGAGTAGATATTTCCAGGGTTTGCCCTGGTTTAATGATCCTTCATACAGTTAAGATCAGCCTGAAGACGAGAGAAGCTCGCATACGTCACATTTTCAGTTTTGGATACTATAAATACATTCTCGAAACAATCGACTAATTTCTGAACTGACTCGTGATAGCTGGGAGGGGAAAATCCATCCACATGGACACAATAATAGTTCTGTGGTCTGTATATAGCTCTGAGTAAAAATTCCGATTGGATGAAATCTTTATGGAGTAAAATATTATAAGCGATGGGAAAGTTGCGTTCTTCTTCACATATTGAATAGTCATCATAACCGTAAACTTTTCGAAATTCTGAACAATTCAAATTTTGAATTGATGACTTATACCGGACTTTCGCTTTTACTGCTCTTTTAGTTTCGTTCTTGTTTCCATGAATAAAAGCAGAACAGTTCCAGTCGGTTACTCGGAACGAGTGATTTACAGAGGTCCTGGCTTGAGAATGTATTCCAGCTAGGCCAATATCTAATACGGTCCCTGATTTTATCTTCAAGCCTCCAAAATCAACAAATGAATAAATTGTGAACCCAACAAACCCCAGGGTAATCAATATCGTTCGATGAAACCATTTTGTAATCAAAAGTAACATGGCGCCTTATTCCTATAATTCACACAAATAACTTTGTTTCGTTTTAAATCAATGCTAAGTCACAAATTATTCACAATTAGTAATTATCTATCAGTTCCATTAACAAAGTCAAGTTTCTAACTATAAAATATACCAATTTAAACAACATATATATGCAGTGTAATATCGTCTCGGAATTCTGATACAAAATGAAAAATATCGACAGTCCAATATTTCGTTTTTATCATTAGTAACAGGTGGACGGCCTCTGAACAAGATGTTGACTTCAGTACTTTACAATGTCCTTAAAGGGACAGATTCGCTAATCTTTTTGACCAATCATACGTTCTCAGAAACGGGATTTGTTTTAGCTAAGCCAAATAGTAATAGTGTTCACAGCTCACAGTAGAAATTTGCCGCGTTTGAAACGACGACTCAGTCAACTTAAGATGATATATAGAAAATACATATATAGAAATAGTGAGTGAAATTCATATTTTGAGATATATTTTAAGGAATTAATACAGAATTAAAATTTCTGTATAGACTATTAACATATTTTCAACATTTTCAAGACTCTTCTGGTTTTCTAAACTTGCAAATCGATGCTATCAGTGTGTACGATACACATTTTTTTTTAGAAAACCTCTT